CTCGTCGAGAAAACGATACAACCCTGTTCTCGCCGAACTTACCCCTCGTATAATCTGCTAATAATGAATATGAAAACGAGCCCAAGTCACAAAAGATACACTGCACGCTACCAAGCAAACATAAAACAAAGAAAAAAGCCTTATTCTTGTCAGTTAACTCTGTCGTGAAATCTTTCATCCGAGTCTTTAGCCCCTCCAGCTAATTTTTACCAAGCCGGAAAATGCGGCAACAGTGATGCGCTGAGCTTCGAATGAATAACGATGTAATTGAAGAAAAATAAATAAAACGAACGGTTTCAACTTGACTTCTGTTGAATAACAATTTTTACGCGCATTTCTTCGCGATTTGTATTCAAAGCGAACCAAGTAAACAAAAAAAAGAATCAAGTTGGACTGTATAAATTTTTGCCAAATAAACTTACGCAATTCAACTCGTTTTCTTTTATGTTAATTTGTGAATGTTATTTGTAATCGATCTTAATTCGCTATTATTTCTATGTAAAATCCGGAAGCTCGTTAGAACAAGCAGTTTGAATTAGAACCCTCTTACTCTTGATCATTAGGCGCTTGCTGTCTGACGATATTACATTTCCAGGAGACATAATGAGAATCAAAATCCTGAACAATATCTCAAGATTTTTATTTTCATAATATTATTAGCATTATACATGCAGTTTTATCGAAATAATGGAACATTAAATTAATTATTTAAAGATAAAATAATGTCCTTTGTCCACTTTCTAATTAATGGTCATAATTAACAAAAAAACTTTTTGATTTTATTAATTCATAGAAAAATAGAATCAGAAAAATGTTAACAGTACTTCGAATTACATTAATGGATGGTTCAATATTTTTAAAAATAGTTTCCTTTGTTACTTATTCAATAACGGAAAGGTTATAAAATATAATTGGATATTTTTAGATTTTTTATATCACATATCTCGAATACAAAAGATGTTTTGTTATCAAGTGCATTCAACTTCGCCCGCCTATGTTGAACACACGAAACCCAATATTTCTCTCATCCCTAAGGAGTATAAACAGAAGTTCATTAATTTAATCAGGGTTCGTTTTAAACACAAATATTAACTCAATTCTATAATGATTTTTTCCATTTGACTGGTTAATAACATTACTACAAGTAAGTAAAAATTATTTTAAAATATTACTTTAGTTAAATTCTAATATTACTCAGTATTGTAATTTTTATATTTTCTAAAATAATTAATTTATTTTTAAAAAATAACAAAATCTATTAGAAATTATTAAAAGTAATTATTACTTTTTTAACTAAAAATTTATATTGCAAAAAGTAATTAATTCTATGATCGTAACAAAGAGGGGGAACATATATGGTGTGGTAAATACAAATTACAAAACTCCCTAAATTTAGGGAATGAAGTCATGCTCGCTGTTTTTAATTAACAAGCGAATATATTAGAATATGGGATGAGATATGTATGTTACCAATAAATTCCTAATTCAAAATGTTTTAACAAGAGACGTCTTGTTTTGGCGAATAGCAGTTGTACTAAACAAGAAAGTAATCGACAATAAACTAAAGAATATTTGGAGAAATATTAATTCTAGTTAAGACAACATTATATGCTTATAAAAAAGCTATAAATATGTATTTACAGTTGGCAAGTCAGATATGTCCATATCAAAGATTAAACGTTAGTTTTTAAGACCAAAATCTCTTTATAAAACATATCGTTTTCCCTGTCATTATCTTTGACAAAACAGAGATAGCAATATGTTTTAAAAGAAGATTTTGGTCTTAGAAATCAACTATAATTCAAACAAGGCAACAAAACAGTAAACAACATCAAATTACAGTTTGAATAATTCCAGTCATAAGTTAATGAATCAATTTCTCCGATTTCCAATTAGTTGATTCACAATCCTAATTAGCAAGAACTGACAGCTGTCAACTTGGGCTTATTGTATTGTGACGACAAACGGTTGAATGTATACCCTCGTATATCAATTAACAATGTTATATATTCTTTTAGAAAACATACAGAGTATATATTACATCAAAACTTCGATATATATTCTAATGGATACACATATGATCAAAGGATTAAAATAAATAATGTTAAATATTTAAGCTTAGCAATAACTTTGAAAAATACTTGTCTCCTGGGATGATTCTAGGTATTATCATTTGTATATGATATGATGTCTGAGAACCCTCTAATTAAATACAGCTTTATAATGATATTTAAACAAAGTAATATATTTATACGAAAATATTAAGCCAAGTAAATATAATTTAACCGTTATATTTCGAGTAATATAATATTTATTTTACAGGATTAACTTCTAAAATAACGCGACAAAATGATTCAAGTAGATAACTTGAAGCGGTCGTCACCGTCACCCTCGCGATGTTCAGTGCGGAGCGACAGCCGCGTGTTCCGTCAGCCGCGCGTCATACAAGTGAACCGCGACGCCGCCACCATGATGGACGATGAAGCCAACGCTGTTGAGGGGCCCAGCAGTTCCGAGGACACAGGACCCACACCCAATTGGGATTGTCGGCTGGGTCATCACGGTACACAGTTCCGCTCGCGCACCTTTAGTGACGGTTTCATCAGAAACACTAGTCTCGAACTCCTTCTTGGAGTGGAATGTGAGGCGTGCCTTGCGCTAGCGGCTCAACGACAATGTTTCAATAAGCAAATGTCAGAACACGAATTTGATTTAGTCTGTAACTGTAACGTGCAACAAAACAACTATCTGAATTGCCGTCGGGATGTGGTGAAGCAAAGAGGACACACACTAAATATCTATGATTTAGAGAGAATTAAAAGAGACACAGGACGCAGCCATCTCGCAAGCGGCTCGCACCGAAGTTTGGACAGGAAGCATAGCAAAGCCCGGACCATCGGTGTCTCTAATTACATTTCGAAACAGCTCATAGCTTACGACCAAACCAATACATTAATGCAAAAACTAAAAAGAAAGTTATCTAATTTGAAAAAAATAGGCGGTGAAGCAATAACAAAGAAACATCAAAACGCGGTCCAACTGGCCGAGATAACGTCGGCCTCGTCGAGCTCTCTCAAGAAACTATCCATGTTGTCTCTCGTTGAGAAGTCGCAACGGAAAAGTAACAGTCAAAGCGGAACATTTTCATCTTCAAGTATGCAATCGAAGGATGATCTAAAAAACTTTACAACTTACGCTAACTTTTCCTCAAATGTGGATCAATGTTTTGACAGATTGAGAGATTACAACGACACCGCTGAAACTAGTTCTGGTGGACATAAAGTTTTGAAACTTAAAAAGTTTGATTTAAACAACGATATGATATTGAAACAATCGCCCGTTAGAGAGGTGAAGAAATTCTCTACTCTAGACAATCGTAGTAGATGCAGGAGTATAAGAAGACAGATGTCTTATAACGACTTTGCAAGTGAACGGTTTAGAGACAGAATCGCAGCAGATTCATGGTCGAGGGACGATAATGTTTTCGACTCGAGAAGTGCAAGTAACGATATAATTATAAATGATGACGGCCAATCTTTTGTGAGCATCGACAGGAGCTGCAGGAATGTGCCACGGCCTGTGCAGGCGCAGTGCACGTGCGACTCCCGGCGGGACAATAGGATTCCTTCAATATTTTATGACACACACGTAAGATTAATGAACACTTAATATGCATTTTAAAGTAGATTTTAGAGTTTAGTACCTACTACTCCCTCGGTGTTCCCGCTGCTCGTTTGCCCCCTTCTGTTATAAAAAAACCTACTAATGATGATTAAAACATTCGCGAAATTTGATGAAGCGATTTAAGGTAATGAGTCATTGTAAAATAAATAAGCATTGTTTTATTATAAATCAATGTTAAATCGAATAACATTCCTCCTTACCCTTGCAAGTTGCTAATTTGGTGGCAAACGAGAAACTGGCCACCTGGATTCGCCTAAATAGCGATGTGACGTATCTTAGATTGACGGAATTTATATTTTGAGTGATAAATATTAATTTCTAAAACCATGAATATTAAATGATTTCAGTTTAAAGAACCCAATGTTTGCGTACAAAATTATAAAATAGTATAATCTCTGTCTGTAAATCTACCGAAGCTTAAAAAGTTTCTTTTATTTTGCGACTAATTGTTATTCCTTTGACTTTCATTTCACAATACGCTGGATTATAAGCCTGCCAAAATATTAGCCAAGTACTTCGTGTCCCTTTTCTTGTCTACGGATTATTCATAACGTATATAAGCACCTAAAAGCGTATAAAATTCCATTGTATTGTCTGTACAGAGGATAACGAAAACTTTATAGGGTTATTCGCTGTCACACAACTGAATAATGTACGTGGCAGATTCGAAGTAATCATAAAAACATCGTGAAGAAGTTATAAATTATTCCATATTATAAAACAGAGCTTAAAATAAACATTATTTTACTGAATTTAATATTCCCTTAAGACTTGGTCTTAAATTGTAAGCGAGGGAGTTAATCAATGCGGTCTTTGATCGACAAGGAAGATTGATACCGTGAACATATAACTGAAAAGGGTTCGAGTATTTAAATATTGAAAAGAGAATCCTCGGAAATCGAATACATACATTATAGATGACTCTTTTATCTCGGCCGAGTCACAGATTGCGTCTTTAACGAAATCGGGATTTGAATTTACTTTTACATTTTTAAAAGCACTCACTCTCGTCGAGTGCTCTTACATCTTTTTTCAAACATGTTGAATACCGCGCTGAGTGAGTGTTTAACATTTTGAGGTTAACCTGATAGATTATTCATAGTGCTCACTTAGCTTGTAATTATTTTACACAGTAGTTAATTTAAGGTAGTTAACCCTTTTACTGCTGGAGGGCAATATTAATGAGTTGAAACATTACAGGGGAAGAAACGTACGGCACCCGCTCCGGACGTGACAGAGCGTGGACAGAATGGACGGAGTGCGGCGTGCGTCGCCTGCAAGGCAGGCCATTGGCTGCCCACCGGGACCACCTCGACAACAAGCCACAGCTCAACAACCACTGCCAACTCTTCACGTTAGTCAACACATATTTAATTTAAAAGTATAAATGCCGGTATTTTACAAGAATATTGCCTTTACTTTTACAATTTTACCAATCTTAATAACATTTAAAGAGAAATTTGAATAAAGCTCGGGTTTGCGAAAATCAAACATACTCAGGCTTTTGGTAAATTTAATCACTTACCGCATAGCAATTATTTTTATGAACTTATCTTATAAATACGCACTAATTTATGTCTGTGTTACGGTTTATAATCATTTAGTTTCAGTCAATCAACAAACCAAGCTTCGAAATTAGTAAATTGCTAGACTAATAAGTATTAACATAATTATGTTGTGTTAGATCAACTATATAATGAGCCAAAGTAATATTTGTGTTTGGTATATTAATGATTCGGATCAAAACAGAATTTATCGATTATTTTTACTATTTCATAATAGCAGGATAAAATATGCAACCAATAAAATCATGACACAAACAGATTTGTGTGCAAATGTAGTCAAGCTTTTTCCTTTTATAACTACTAAAATATTGTTATTAAAAAGCTTTGTTTCTGCAACGATGATTTCGTCAAATTAAAAGCTCTTGTTCTTTAACGGTAATTAATGAAATAGGTTTTTATTAAAAATGAAATTTTCCGCGAATTTTCAAACAATAAATAACTTTTCCTCTGCTTGTTCGCGACCTTTCATACTCAAACATAAATTTTAATACACAAAAACAAAGCAAATTGGTATATGTATAAACTATGCGAGTAAACTTTTCATATAAATATCGTAAGCAAAAAATAAAATTTCAAAGTTGAACTAATCGTCAAATATTTCATTTATTTGCAAAACAATTATGTTGTTTTAAGCGCATGAATTTATTTTTTTTATGTATATTTTGTGAACGTTAAAAATATTATCGCATGTTTTAAGCACTTTTGTAATTACATTACTTTTTTTAAGACATACCGTTTTGTTTATAATCAGGGTTCTCAGTGTGGCATCGTCGTTGGTGTTGTATGGCGATATTGGTGTTGGTGGCGGGCACGGCGTGCGTGGCTGGGCCGCTGGCGTTACGGACCGCACCGGGGGCGCCCCTGCACGAGAGACTGCGCCTCGCTGAGCGCCTTCTCCACGACACCCCTCTTATTGATGGCCACAACGACTTGCCTTGGAACATACGAAAGTTTCTACATAATCGAATCAAAGATTTCAGGTATGTGTTTCTAAGACAAGAATTAAAAGATTTCTAATTATTTCTTTCATTTTTAGTGAAAAAAAGAAAGCTTAATAACGCACATACTAAGTTATTATACTACTATCCTATACTAACAATAGTTTTCAAAAGATTGAAACTCCGCGACAAATTTCAATGAGATAACATTGAAAAAAGAAAAAAAAGTAGTGATAATTCCAACTTAAAAAGTCTACCTTAACGGACGTTGAAATCTCTATGTAATTTTCTATTAACGCTTCGCTCTTAGTTGAGAATTTCTCAGCTTCGTTTGCGGCTTTTGTCTTTTTCACAATCTACTATGCAAATAGTCTCTTTTGTAATTTTTTATTGTTACATCACATTTGTGAATAAAAGAGACATCTTTGTATTACCATGTTTACTACTTTAAGAATTGCTTTTTACAACTGAGTTCAAAATAGCAAATGTATATAAGTATAAGCCTATCAGCATGTTCACATCATTTACCACAACAAAAACTTACTTTGCCATTTCTATTAACACATAAAGAACACCTCGTTTGAGATTCCGTAGAGTATGTGCTATCTTATCCTATTTCGTAAGCCATTTTTACGATTAATGTTAGATTTTAATTAACTTTAAATTGACTCTATATTGCCTTTATAAAAATATTGTTAGATATAAGAAGGCATCATTAAGCACCTTATCTCCGCGCCGAACACATAAAGTTCCATCGTCAAATGTGCGGACATATCAACCAGAAACATAAATCACGAGAAATATATTTGAGATGGCAATATTCTTACAAATTAACTTCGATTTGTCATTAAATAATGAACATTTTTTTTATTTTGGAATAAGGAAAATATAGATAAAGGATTGATTGAAAACACATTTGAAACGAGTAAATGAAAGTTAATCTTGCAAACTACTATTTTATTTTTAAAAATTTGTAAATGATAAACACTATTATAGGAGAGAACCTTTTCTATCAGCAAATTTATCTATTTCATTTGTCATGCTACCTAACTAGCCGGCGTAGCGTGTTTAACTGTGTTTGTAGATTTGTCCCCTATGCGTTTCCAAATCACTGGACGCGTTTTACTAAAACTTTGCAGAATGTTCTAAAGACAAGGGCTTTTGCTCTAAAAAAAGTCTTACGTTTTTAAGAAAATTAATTTTTTACACAATAATTATTTTCACATTATAGATATTTGACGTCATTTGGACTTTGTTATTACAAGACGGGTTCGACTAGTAATTAAAAAACAGTTCTAGGCTTTTTAAAATATCTAGTGACGAGTTTGAATTTCAAACCAGTTAGCTGTGAATCGAATTTGATGCAATGAAAAACTGTTCATTGAGTTTTCGTTTTTTATGTAGCGTTAAAAAACGTTACAACGTCCAATTAATTTTACAAACGCGTGATGGTTCCATTTACAGTTAAATTGTTTAAACTTTCGTGAGACATAAATGTTTTAGCTACACTCACGTATGTACTTGTAATCAGGTGTATAACCCACCAATGGGCTTATCTTATATCTACCACGGGGAGTGCTCTGAAGAATTGTTTGGAACGATTCCTGCCACCGAGTTCCGTCATCGGACGACACGACAGACCGCCAGGTTCCATCCACACCATCTCGATGGCTGGCAATCCACAACTGTGCGGTTTGCGTGAAACTTGACTCTCATGAAATTTTGTGAGCATATTGAGTAGGTCTGAGAATCGGCCAACATCTATTTTTAATCCCGCGCGGACGGAGTCGCGGGCGACAGCTAGTAAACTTGTATTATTAAATTATTTTTCACAATTTTCTTACGCAGTATACAAATTAACATTAAATATTCATTTAATCAGCACATCGCAAGTTTATTTTTATATTCTAGTCTACTTTGGCTCCGCTAAACATATTTTAAAAATGCATTTTTAAATACATTCGAAGTTTCTTTCTCATCTTTTTAAACGTATAAGACATATGCTCTAGAGATTTAAATTTTGGCTTTGCTTATTTTAGCTCTGGAAACAAGGTTGTGCACTTATGTGTGTTATATTAAAATGATATACGTTAAATAAAAATGTACTCGCTGAGTATATCGTGTTTTGTATGAAACAATATTAATATAGCGTATTTTTTTCTGTTCTGATATTTGTTGAGACGCAACAGTACACGAGTTCTCTCAGCGATCTTTGCTACGTAAACAATTATTTTAAGTGGCAGCCCTACGTGCGCGCAGACGACAGCTGTCCCTTCTTTTTAATGATAAAACTTATGACGAATATAATGAATGTACCATAAAAAATCCTGATGATAAAAACTGAACTTGTAATTTGTTTAAGAAGGAGCTTCTCTAACTTAATCAAACGGAAGAACAACAAATCACTGGATTAATCTAAAACAAACATCCAAATTATGTTTAAGTGGAAAATTAAATTTCTACGGAACTTTGCAATTAAATAAAGGTTTGTCTTTTAAGAAATTTAACCTAGGGAAATATCTTAGTAAATGTTTTTTTAAACAAAATATTTTGTCAATACCTAAAAGAAATAAACATAAAGACATCGATGTAAACAATTATTGTAAAAGATGTACTAAAGGTATCAGAGACTTAATCAAAATAAATTAGTAACTAAACAAAAGAAAGATGCACGGAAATCTAAAACAATCCTACACGTTACTCTATCTAATAAACAAAGATATTTACAGTGAATTAAAAATGTTACAACAATGCAAGTCATTGTGCCAAAAGCGTAGAGTTAACTGGTATAGGACGAGAGAGTACGCTGCATCAAAAAATTACAAATGAGTTGCGACGCGTGACACATATGCAGCGCTCTCAGAGCGCAAGGAGCCCTTTATCATGCCGCTAGTTGCCAGCCGCGGATCCTCTGGCGGGTTTATGCGCGGCTTAGCACGACAACATCGAGCATCAAGTGAAACAAAATGGAAATGTAATGCAACTCTTCACTTCTATATCTAATCATTATGTTGTACGTAACTATCATTATGTTTTTGTTTTGATTTACCAATTACTTACACGTAAAACCAATTATTCCTCAAAGGCCGGCAACGCATCTGTGGTTCCTCTGGTATTGGTGATGTCCATTTGCGTCCTTGAAAACCCCTTCTGTTATAAAAAAAATCAACTTTTGTTGTCTTTACTCGCTTGAAGTTTGTAATAAACGAGCTTTTGGCAACGGTTAGAAAAAGACAAAAAAAATGTTTATGTTACCGATCGTTTTGGCTTTTTCATGAATTAAACTATTTATGTCGTGTTTCAAGACAGAGCGTACACTTTTAAACACTTTTACGCTAAACAACGTAGATTCAATAATACTTGAGAAAATGTAATAATAGCGTTAGATTTAATAATACAGAAACAAATATATTTTCTTTTAGAGCATAAGAGGGCGCAACCTTTTCATTGCTTTGATCTCACCTAATGTCACGCTGTTTTAGATGTTACCAATAACAGTTAGAGGAAAATAAATTGTACAAATAAAAGCTGAGTTAAGTGATTTTCACAATATATTTAGAAATAATGACGTCAAAGTTATATATATTAAACAATTGATTTACTACCTATTAAAGCAATATTCACTTAGCAAATGTAACCAACCACATCGAGTGATTTCATATTTAAATGGATAAAAATATTAATTTCTCTAATACCTCTTCTCTTTCTTATAAGTAGGCTGAGATTGTAATCAGGAATTGTCATTTTGCCTTAAGGATCCATGAGTCTTCTGTCAGTCGTAGACGCCGCGTAGGCGAAAAAAAAGAGATTGAAATGATAACTGTAACATCTAATGCTTTAAGTGTTAATTAGCAACTAGCGCAACCAGAGCTACAAAGTGTTGATTTAGTATGAAGCACACTTATGAAACTGCTTCTGTCTGCTTAGAAAAGGTTTTTACGGCTTTGATTAAAGCAGATGTGTTGTCATCTTATTCTGACTCTACAGTTTAGGTTTGTCGTACGTAACGATTCAATGAATGTGGCAGTTCGGTCATATTTATTTGATAGGCATATTGTGTTTAGTACATGTTTAATTTCATACAGGTTCGATGAGGATCTACGAACTATAGCGCCGTGGGCTACGAGTTCTTGGAGTCACACGGATCTGCCGAGACTCAAACAAGGAAGAATTGCTGCACAAGTGAGCTTTTACAGTCTGTCTTGAAATTCATAATATACTAAGATCGTCGAACTTCCAAAAGTGAGAAATGCTTTAAGTACGACTTAAAAAACAAATTTTGGGCTTTCCTCAATTATATTATTGTAGAATACTTGCATTAAGCTCGGAATGTTCCGATGTTCCGTTAAAGTAAGATTACTATGACATAAAAGTTTAAATAAATGTTTAAATTGAACAACTTCCTCGGGAAAAATGAAAATTTTAAACGAGAATGCATTTTAGTTTGGTGTCGACAGGTTGAAATACAAAATTGATTGAGCTATTCTTTTGCCTTTTGCATTTGAAATGCCACTTAATATACAGGCTTTTATTTTGCTATTCACAAATCTCCTTTTAATATTTTGTGTAATTTATTGCTTTCAAAGATATATACGATTAATTTCATCAATTAATTTATTTCACTTTTACTTGCACTAGATTTACTAACCTCATACTAGATTAAAAATCTAGTATGAGCTTAGTAATTCAAAAATTCAAAACTTTAGACTCCTTTAACATATAAACCCAGTAATAAGCCACGTTTGTGTGTATGCGTGTTTTCATCTCTTCAAAATAAAATAGAAATATGATAATAAAATTTACAGTTTGATCTATGATAAATTAGCATTCAAAGTACTGCATTGAAAGCATTAATAATGAAAAACAATGACCTAATAAATTCAGCTTTCATGTTTCCCTGGTAACCTGATTATGATATTTTAAAATGAGTTTGGAACAAATGTAATATTATATGATATTCCTACATAATTCAATCTACATTTTTGACACTTAAAGATAATTTGATTTTAAATAAGTGGTCGTGTCTATTTTGTTCTTAACTCATAAGAGCGGTTTTATAGTTCGCCGAGAACTAATGTAGTCATTAGTTCGTCATTTATAACTTTAAACGCTTATTTTAACTAAAGTGCACTCGAAATGTTGCGGTATTTAGTATTCATTTCATGAGTTCGTTCAGATATAAACGAAAACAAACAGCCTAATTATGCTTAAATGATAATAGCAAAACATTTCTTAAGTGATACTTTTGTAAGAACTAACAATAGCTCTGAGTACAATAGCTCACTATAAGAATTTTTTTATTATCATACACCAATCCAAAAATTTTGGGGATATTTTTTTTCGCAAATATTTAAATTGCGTCTAGTTATAATAAGAAATATACTTTTATTCTTTAAATATGAAAATATTCTGACCAACTTACAAGCAAAGTCAAACATGCTGAACACATGACAATGTCAACCTTCATGCGCAAACATTGTTCTACAATTTTAAATGGAAAATTAAAAAAACAGTCAGTCGTTAACCGGGAGAGCTCACGTTTTCTATTACATACGTGTCGTTGCATCCGATGAAAGCGAATTTCATATTCTGAGTGCGGACTGCAGACCGTGCGTACTATTTAATCGTGTATGTCAAAGCAATACTGCCATATGCGTTTATCTGAACGAAGAAGTTATTTGTAAAGCAAGCTCCACTCTCCATTATAAAGTTTGGCGGATTTGGATTTTGATTTTTCAATACGACGTCTTTTAGGACTTTTAGATTACGTGTCCATTAACAAAAAGCGGTTAACTTTCACTCTATCCGTGTACGGCTGTAATTTCGTAGATTAGTCGGCAGAGGAAAATGGTACAAGCGACTTTATACTAAACTCGCGGGCCAGAGTCTAGTACCCGCTACGTGATAATTGTTTAGATTGCAATGCAATGTTCTGTCATCAGTTTTGGGCAGCATACGTGCCATGCGACGCGCAGCACCGGGACGCCGTGCAGCTCACCTTCGAGCAGATAGACCTCATACAGAGGCTCACTGACAAGTACCACCCGCAACTCACGCTCTGCACATCTGCTGACGGTAAGCGGTTCCACCATAGCGAGTCATCATTAATTGTAACAATATGGAAATGATCATAATCATCCTCATATGCCAATAGTCTAAATTATTTATATTCTGAAAATATGGCATGCCACCAAACAAAAAATCGTAACTTCAATTACCATTATTGATATTGTCCCAAGGAAGAAAAAGAAAAAAATATGAAAAAATTTGGATATCGATTAAATTTGACATATGTAGATATAGAACATAGTATGAAAGTGTCCGCGCAAAATAATTTTGCGCCGACAGCAAAGAGTAGTTTTCTTTACTCTATTATATACCTAACTTTAAATATATTACAAATGATTCGTGTAAAAATGCTTGTATGAAGTGTTAGGAAATTAAAATCAAAAGGGGTTTTATAAAGTTTCCTGCAAGAGCTCATCTTCTTTTAACAATGTTGTTAATTAATTGCACGTTGATTTAGACGCAAAAGCAATTTATAAAGTAATCGTGCTTGTAACACAGTTCATTGTGCATTATACGGTTTTCTTTGTAGAAAGTTACGGATAGACCGAGAAGTAATATTTAATAGTTTAACTTAGCAAAAACTTTTTGAAGACTTTTTAGTTTATTCATATTTACATAGAACGTCAATCGCAAAGAGTTAGGAAAGACCCCACCCCACTCATTGGTCAAGCGAGCAAAACTTGAAGTATTCTTCGATTATAATATTAATCGAATGTCGATTAGGACCTATAGTTGAACTTTATACCACAGAGCTTTACCCTACTCAATTTACATGCTATTAAGTATTTGTTTTGAATTCATAAAACTTCTTCACAAAAAAAGCTTAGTAACTGTAATGCTAGTCATGAACAGTGTTTTACTTCTTTTTAGCGTCGCGTCGCTTCGCCCTATGTAAGTGTTAAGACAAACTTCTTGAATATTTCACTGGTAGTAAAAAAAAACAGATGGGATTTACGGAAGCAAACGACGACCGTAATGCATTAACCCTTTGTTATTTATGAATTTAATTAGTTGACGGCCAGTGGCAAAGTTGTGGGATGGCGGTAAACGGCGGAGGAAGCCCGAGGCATCCCCGGTCACCCGAACCCAGCACTGCCCACTGTTGACTAATTATTTTACATAATAGGTCACTCACCTATTCCCCGGACACGCTTATAATGTTCAAATCACAAAGTTATTACACAAACCCTCTTTATCTCTGATGAAGCACAGTTTATATGTTATGAATTTTAACAATAATTAAGCTTGCTTGTTTTTGCTATTTTCGGAATCTCCATTTGGTTGCTAGATATGAAAAAAATTTAATAGGTCAATTTGTTTTTTGAAATATAAAAAATTGTGATATCAAAGTTAAGACGTTACAAATAATGTGTAATAAAAAAAACAAGTTCACTTTTTTTATGTCATTTTTTACTACATATTTAGATTGTAAATATATTCTAAAGGTTAGATTTCTTACAGACATAATAGCGGCGCACACGAACCATCGTCTCTGTTCGCTAGTGGGGGTGGAAGGTGGGCACGCTATTGGGGGCTCTCTCGGCGTGCTTCGAACCTTGTACCAAGTTGGCGTACGCTACCTCACGCTGACGTCCACCTGCGACACACCTTGGGCGGAGTGCGCCTCTGCCGACCGCACAGATCTCACACAAAGAGGTGGACTTACTCCCTTTGGCAAAGTGAGTAATGTGCCGTGAAATTTGCCTCAGCTGCAATTGAATTTCAGTTGCCAAAACATGCTTTACTTTGTTGTCTGTATTTGTGGAGATACTAAGTATTATTTGCTTATTATTGTTCTAGATTCTGGGTATCATTGTTACTTAGAGTGTTTTTGTCGTAATTAGCAAGTATCTAAGTTCGCTCCTAATTTTTTTTGTAATTTACACGATACAAGTTAGTCTTTTACACAGTTGTTCGAAAACCTTATCTGAAAGTATTTTTCTTCTTTGGTTTACTTAATTATATCTTAATAGTAGCTCGTAGTAGTTTATTTTATATACCATACGCAGGAAGGTTTTATCCATTTTTCTAATAAGTACTGCACATAAAATGATTATTTTCAACTCAAACTTTTGCAGTACCAATTTATCCGAATCCTGTCCATAAAACGACAACGTTATAGTAGATAAATGAAGTTTAGATCCTAAGTAACGACTGTACGTTCCGATATAATGCAGCTGTGTCATATAAATCAATAGTGTTGCAGGCATTGCAAGAAATATCAAAGTATGTACTAAAAAGAAAATCGTAAATATTGAGACGTCTAGCGGAGTGAGTGCACATAATAATAAACATCCTGTGGCATCGCAATATCTTGCTTTGTACCGTCTCAGGCTCTTGCAGCTCTTTGTTTCACGTGCAACGTTACTTTCAGTACATTCACCATTGTTCGAACCATTCGCACCGTAATGTTAAAGCAAAAATCACTTTTCAACAATTACCAACAACGTTTGAAAATAATTGAAGCACTTTCGAAGTGAACAATACGTTCTTATTCAATACGCTTAATGGCGGATATAATAAATTTAAAAGTTATTAGAGTAATTAAAGACATTAATCGCTGTATTCATGATTTAATGAGTTTTACTTTACATTGCGCTCAGACAAACGCCTCGCCTCGCCGGTAAACTTGGAATGATTAATGCGGCACGTACCGCCTCCTCTTTGATGCCAGCAAATACCGATTTCGATTTATAACAATATTTTAATATCAGTTCAATCAGAATATGTCATTATACAGTAAAAAAATCTCATCCTACATCTGACTACACATATTTTATAATATGTTTTATCTTTGCCCTTGCTAATAATTCATCATCAGCTCACTATACGTCCCCACCGAGGGGCTCGGAGCCTACCCTAAGTTAAGGTTGATTAGGCCATAGTCAACCACGCAGGCCCAGTGCGGGTTGGTTGACTTCACACATATCTTTGAATTTCTTCTCAGATATGTGCAAGTTGCATCACGATGTTTACCTTCATCGTAAGAATGTCGGATAAATGTACATATGTAAATCGTAAATCGAAAAACACATCGGTACACGGCAGGATTCGAACCTAGGACCTGCAGATTGCAAGTCAAGTGCTTGACCCCTTCAAGCCACCGACGCTGTTATAATTAAAAAATATGTAAAAAAATCAGTTATTTCAATACATCACCCGGACCATCTGTCCTATAATTCTGTACCATGTGCAAATTAAACTAAGAATTTCGTAATAAGATCTTACCTCCGCGTAGTAAATGAAAGCGTCGTGTAATTTAATCCTTAATGCCTCACGAACAAGCATTTAAGCAGTGCTTATAGCACGAACAATTGACATAAACCAGCAGTTTGTACATATTACATAGACATATATACAAATTAATTTACGTTTCCATCTGGAAAAAACATTGCCCTCGTAATAGTGTTGACAGATATCGGAGACATAAAACTTTCTACTTACTTTTCACAACTTAGATGCAGCAATTTTATGTGATCCTATTGATATATACGAATAACACAAATGTACCTTTGTATAAAAACGTTTACGATAGTAACAAACTGTATAGTTTTATGCAAAAAAATGATTCCATAATAATAATTGTGGATTAATGAACATACGCGAAGTATACTATCTTCTATATTACTCACTTGATATTTTTAATTGTAGTTTGTTGTAATTGTTGTTGTTTTATATAAAGTTATCAATTATCTATTGTTAGAATGGAGTACATTTAAACATTATCTGTGCTAGTCTTTCCTGAAGAATATTATCTCAAGTAACTCTATTACTAAAATTCTACATCAAAGAGAAAGGAAAAAAGTTTATACACGTTGTGCAAGTAGAAAAAGTCTTCAACTTTGCGCCGATATCGCTTTGTGCTTGTTAGTAGAAATTAATGTTCTAATAACGATCATTTAAAACACTTTTAAAAAGTCATTTCAACATTTAAAAAATAAGACAGAAAAAAGCACTTGCCTTGCACCAAAACCAAGCACCAAAAAACCTGGACTGTTTTTACTTCATTCCTTTGTTATAATATTAATGAATTCATAAAACCTAATCTATTAATTGGATTTAAAGAAAAAATCGTTTTAAATTAATATTGAAAACAATTTATATTATATAAACAGTGTTTAAGAGTGAATGTAACTAAGCTGATTGAAATCTCATCAGGCGTGAATGCTCTGCAGCCATGTCGGTAAATTGAGGTTGGCCAGTGAAAAGTACTGCGTTAACAGCGCGTACCGACTCTACTCTACTTAAAATTTATAACATTTAGCGCCCGTTACATAGCTTGCTTTCTCCAACATTTAATTTCGTCTTACTAAATCCCGACCATTTAATTCTACCGCCAATCTCGAGCGTTACATAAAATTTAATTTTTCAGATGAGATCTTTTGAAGACGTCTGATGTTGTTATAAAAATAATATTACTTTTATAATTTGGACTTTTGATATTAGTATTGTTTTTTAATATATTTGTAGTAACTAATTTTTAAAAGAGACATCATGACTGAAATAAAAATGAATTACTTTTGTTGCAAAGAATGTATGGCGATTTATATATCAAAAGTGGAGCAATTTTTCACGATCTTTAAGTCAAAGGCGTGTTTTTACTTAACACTTTCAGTGCCACCGACTAACCCTGCTATTTCACTTTAGGACAAAAATAAATTGTGGATGGAATTGAAAATGTTAAACGACTTATGCAATCTAGGTGATCGTGAAGGAGATGAACCGTCTTGGTATGCTGGTGGACCTGTCCCACGTATCAGAGCGTACGATGCGTGACGCCCTGGCCGTATCACGCGCACCCGTTCTCTTCTCGCACTCTTCAGCGCGCGCGCTTTGCAACGTGACTCGCAACGTGCCCGACAGCGTGCTGCGCTTGCTCGCCAACAACAAGGGTCTTATCATGGTCAACTTCTACACCTCCTTCCTCACTTGTAGTGAGTCTGCCACCGTGCAAGATGCAATAGGTAAGGTTCCTAAATCTATTCCGATATGGTATGTACAAATCTCTTAAAACTTTTATATCTTTAAAAATATAATATCAATCAGTCCTTGTACAGAAGTAGATTGTGATAATATAAATAGTACATACCAACGAAGCCAACAAAAAGGGTTTCGATAAAAATATCAAAAGTAACGACAAAAAAGTGACAATGACGACTACGCTTGGTTACTACTACCAAACAAGTACTGAAATGTATATTCACATGAGTCACAATCGTTTCTTTTTTCAGCGCATATAAATCACATTCGCAGCATAGCTGGCGTTGACAGCGTAGGCCTGGGCGCTGGTTACGATGGAATTAACTAGTAAGTATGATTTCCATTTCGGCTTCAAATACATCCATTGAAAATGAAAACGTTAAAACGTCTACACGCATGTTTTTGTGAAACGCTCGAAGGCTATTATACGCTCGACTCGCCGGATCGAATACAATTTTACGTAGTCGCTTTAATTAAAATGAAAGCTCTTCGTTTAATACCTACAAGAGAGTAACAATAAATCGTATGACGAATTAAAAATACAAATTGAAGAACAATGTCGTCCCCAGTCTTGAATGAATTATTAGTATTGATGTATTAATTAATCTTTATATTCCAAAATTAAGGTTTCAATTGTTTTAAGATAATAATACCCAAAATTGTAGTTATATGTTACTGTTTATTGAACCTGATTATTCGTACAGTACGCCACAAGGTTTGGAGGATGTGTCCTCGTATCCAATGCTATTCGCGGAGCTGATGGAGGATGGTTGGAGTATAGAGGAGCTGCGGAAGCTGGCCGGACTGAACCTACTACGGGTGCTTACAGCGGCGGAGCGTGTAGCACGCGACCTCGCCGCAGACCATGTCGCGCCCTACGAGGACGCTGCGCCCCGCGTCGCAGACCCACACAACTGCTCCAGTCAGGATTTATAAAACCTTTAAAAAAAAGTAGTCGAAGCAATCACACCGACTACACGAGTGTATCCCAAGCTTTAATATTTTACTATACATTTTTATTATCGAGTAGATCCCCCTTTTCATAAAAAAATTGTTCGACGTGATTTAGTATTAAGATTAACTATGATTAAATATTGAAACGTTTAAATATTAAACTATATAGAATTAACATTTTAATGCGATAGGAATATTTGATAAAAATTTCGATAAATAAAATCCGAAAATTCATTTTATAAATCAAAACAATTAATAATAATTATCTAAAATACTTACTGTGTTTCGATATCCTAGAATTTCATAAATTTTACGCTAGAAAATGTAGGAATAACGTCTGTAATTTTAATTGGACAAAATAGAAGCCACGAACCCTCCCAATACCTTCGAAATCCTTGTTAATCATAGCGATTGTTACAACTTACATAATGATTTTAATATATAAACTTCTATGCCAATAACATAAGCAGGATGGATTTATTTGTCCCTACAATCTCAGAAATTACTAAACCGTTATTAAGAAATTGTATTAATGTTCAAAAACATGTCGAATATTTTTTTTTTTATATTTAGAAAAAGTAATGCAGCGACCCGTAAATTTATCAATTTCAAGCTACAGTGAAATGGAAATTTGGACATAAACTAATGTTGTGTTAACTACTATTGGAAATTTCTTTTGTAAGCTTTCTACAACAGTGCAAAAGCATAATGATATTTTAACAGTGGCTTGGTCGTTAAATGTTTTGGCAAACTCCATCGTCCTAGTTTTCACATTCGGTTTTCGGTAAATTAAATGCTTTCCACTACTACGGTAATGACGGCTTTGTTTTGTGCTATTCTTTGATCACGGTTTAGCTCTTTTTTTTAATCTAGCTTAGAATTTTTATAAATAAAGCATACTCTTACTTTTATTATTGCAATATTTATAAAAATGAAAGTTAGTTTTATACGTTTTACAACTTAAATAACACTAATTTGTAATTTAGTAATGAATTTTATACTCGAGAAACTAGAGGCACAAAGATCATATCTTCAAAAAATATTTTCAGGACATGAACGAGAACAAAGTCCTTGTTTTTTTAGATATACCAACAAACAGATATCATTTCTCATAAACATTTACGTAACTAGGAATGTAGTGTAAGTGGGTTGGTAATTAATATACAAGAAAGTGAAGAGACATGTATGTAAAACGAAAAGAGGGAATGTGACGTGCTTGAGCCTCACGCTTCTCATTCATACGACAAAACATAGAAACTCCAATAGTAACTCTTACATACTATGAGATCTTATGTGCCTCGTGTTACTGTTACTCTGTTCAGCCGAAAAACTTATGTAAAAAAAAGATATCGTTGTCTGTGGTTTTTTTTTTAAGCGAGTAACTTTTTTAGCTCTAGTAGTGTCGAGGTCACATGTGTCAAAACTATTGTCATCTTTGTTTCTTTTAAGAGTATGAGCAAGATACTAATATGTTTTTTACAAGTATAATGGCAGTGGAAACTTAGTAAAAAACATTATGTTCAATCGTTGTAGATTTTTATATTACTTTTCCAATGTAACAAGTATGGCACAGTAAGTATTTTTAATATAAACTTGGAGTAAGGTTCCATATTTCGTTATCAAATCCCGACATTAAGGGACTTTCGTATTCGAGATTACATTTTTCATTTCGGTCTCGTCAATTACATTGTTAGTTTAATAGAATACTAATCATTGAGAGGTAATTCTTTATATTATTAGGAAGGGATAACATCGGTTTAAGTAAATATCTTTATCAGCTTTTTGTTAGAGTAAATTGTTATAAATTAGGGCATTGTAGGTGATTTTGAAGGTAATTTAAATTTTATAGCTTTACTTACCGACGACCAAAAATAGAAAAAAAACGTAGTTTAACTTATACGTTAGAACCAACCTTAAAATATTAATATCTTGAAATGTAAACTGTATTTTTTACAGAACACGGCCCAAAAATGTCTTGTAGCTATATCTACTTCACTGGTATATTGTTTGTATGTACCTAGATACCTGATAATAGAAAGATTAAGGCTGAACATGTTAACGATATAAAGTCGTCACAACATGGAACTTACTGCTGTTATTACAAAATACAATATTAAAAATATGCAAACCAACGAATCGGAAACTATTTAATATTCGATAATTACAAAAGGACAATTATTTAAATTTTCAATAGCCTTGTTTGCAATTCGAAGATTCAAGTGTACAATAATATAAAATAAATCTGTATTGTGACGACTATAGAAGTTAACATTAACCGTTGGTGTCTCAGACCAAAATCTCTGTCATTATCTTTGACAAAACACAGATAAAAATGTATTTTAAACGGACATTTTGGTCTCGGAAACCCACAGTAAATTTGCTAATTATTTCCGAGTAGGAAGGGAAAATAGTAAGGGTTTTAGAAAACATTATAAAGCCTCTTATATCGAAATCTAATATCCCGTCATACATATCTAGTTATGTTTAAATATAGACATTTATCTATATCGTTTTCGTCTAAATCTTCGTTAAAACTTAACAGACATAAATAAAAATTATTTAAATAAACTAAAAATTTGTTATATCTTACTATAATTATTTATTCAAAGAAAATACAGTAAATTTAAATGATTGAAAAATCGCACAAATGTAAGAAATAAAACGTTTTATCTCTACTTGTTATGTATTATTAATAATATTTATTATATTTTAGTTAACTAGATTTTTAATAGAAATGCTTAATGTTACAGAATTGCTATTCTTTATTGTAAGTAAAAAAAATGTTTTAAAATAAATTACGAACACGCATATTCATTATTTACTTATCTGTCGGATTCTGTTGATTAACGTCGAAGAAAATATTTACCCTAATCTAACTATACTTTCAGCTTAGATATTCCTGCGTGAGGCAAAAGAAATATGTATTCAAATGATAGAAATAATGTTTTATTAAAAATACAAATAAACGTTTGTACACAATTTATTACACGTATAAAATACCGTACGTACATACTTGCATGTTTTGTGTAAAAACTCGACGTTTTCATAAGTCCCAGCTGACTGCGACTACTTTTAAAGCAATTTATTTTACTTATGCACCGGGGAGCAACTATTATAAATGCATGTTGAATTCGCTGTACGTATCTAGTTTTATTATAGAGCGAAATTAACTACAAAATATTTAGGTGCTTAAGTTAGATGATTGTGTAACCCGCAAAATTAATGCTTATTACATTTTCTACCTTTTATACTTACGGAAATACCATTTTATAAATAACGTTTTACCGTTTATTATAAGCATCCTATAGGTTTAGAATAGTACTCTTCATCCGTAAGTTTGTGTGTTTTTCAACTTCAGTTTACGTTGCAACTTAACTATTGGTTTGGAGACAAATGTTCCTCTGTACCATTTATGTTCATGTAACGTCTCTCTTCTTTTTTTTTAAATGCCGTTCAAAGTTCCCTAAACTACATAAATTAAAATATGAATTTACTAATGCAGCTTGTTCATTGCACAAATTCAATATCTAAACTTTCTTCATTAATTAATTTTATGCAAACTAAATCGTTAGCTGGGTCAGATTATACTATCTTTGAGCTATACGTGCATGTATTATATAAATTACTCTAAAATTGTTTATATGGATTAAAACTTAATACATTTTTCATAGACTTACATATTTTATTTGATTTATCATAGCAATACGCAATTTACGCCCGACGGACACTCAACATTAAAATTTTAATTTAATAATAAATTTACAATTTACAATTTTGCTTGTTTAAATTTTATCCTGTATAATGATACTTCTATGAAACATTTTAATTGTGATATTAAATTTTATATGTTGTCCTTTCTATGTATTGTAATAGACCCAAAAGCGCAAATTATAATCATTGTACGAAAACGGTGTTTTCATTTTTATCCAACTCTTTCTTACGAGTAACTCCCTTCTACCCACTATTTCGTCCGCGCAGAATTAAAAAATGTAGCCTATGCACTGTGCTAGGCGGAATTTCCAGCGTTAGCTAGTTCAATTATCCATCTAAAGCATTTTCAATATTAATAACAATAACGATATTGAAAATACTTTAGATGGATACATTATAATATGTAATAGTTATATTTTATGGAAAAATGTGTTAGAAGAACAAGCGATACGAACGATATAATAGAAAATCGATTTTTGTGGAAAATAAAAAATTAAAACTATCTCAAACTACTCTATACTCTTTGATCACATTCAATCACATCACTACTTAAATTTGACATTTGACAAATAACACTAACTTTTGACTTTTGACAACACTTCTGCTTGGTTTGTTTGTGTGAAATGGATTGAATTTGTGCTTGGCCTTAAATTCGGGTGTAATTCACGAAATTAATCTTTTGCATATATTTCACTTTGTATGCTATTTTTTACCAGTACAATCGTGAATTTCTAAACTCGACATGGCTGAAAAATCTACACCCCTTTTAGCTGTCCTACAATTGCTTCGTAAATACAATCTAAAAGTATGAACATATCGTATTCGATCATGTTATCTATCATTATTTTTTATATTATAAGGCGGTAAACGAAGAACCACCAGAATTACACAAAATAACGAAGCGAACGCTGCCCGTAGAAATCTGCAATTGCAGATGCGTTGCCTACTTTTAATCACGCTTCTGGCTTGTCTTCTGTGTGGTCGTGGTATACCACCGGGTTCATGCACCCAACATACATTGTTGTTGTAATGTATTTTCTGCACGTAATTTTAGGGCACTGAGGAAATATTAAGAAAGGAAGCAAGTTTAGGGGATGCCGAATATGAAACATTAAATTTGCCCGAAGTTGAAATAGCAAGCATTCTCACTGCCCATCATACTGAAAGTGACCCTTATAGTTATGAGTTTGCATATGAAGGTCTTAAAAAATTCATTGAAAACTCATTGGATGTTTACAAGGTATTATAGAATTGGTTAATATTTAATAGTATACAGTAAATTAGTTACAAATGTAATGGAAATTTTAAGATTTGCATGC